GGGAGGCTCAGCATCTGAGCAGCTCAGGACTGTGGAGCCTGGAAACCATCTCCACAAATGTGTCCCATTGTCTTCAGACTAAGTGGGAATACTTGGAGATATTCTGCTCTCTGTATCCAAAAATGCTTTTCTGTACAAAAAAATAAATTACTATATTCAAGCACTTACTTCAGTGACTAGCAGTCTGAGTAAAATTCACATTACTTCCAGTTCTTAGAACAGCAAGTGAAGGAGAAATGCAGATGTTAAGATCTTTTGATCTGAAGCAAAATGTCAACCCACATGCTTTCAAAGAAAGAACATTTCTTCCCAAGAGTTGCAGAAATGGAAGAAATGAAGAGGTGATAAAGAAATCTACAGAACATCAACATTTGAACACAATCAGCTTTAAAACAAAAGGAAATGTGGGACCTCAAACTTGACCCCAAACTTGCCAGGCCTCTTCCATTCACACTCTACCAACAAAACCTGCAATGAAATGGAGGGAGAAGGCAAATGCCAAGATTTCAATCATAATTCCAACAGAAAAATGCCAAACTGAAAAGAAAGCTAAACTGTTTGAAACATGCAAGTAGATCTACAAAGGATGAAATTTCACACAATGAATTTACAAATATTGGCTCCAGAAAGACTATTCTTAAGACTCAAATGTCTCCCTTTGACCTTCAAGACTTCACCTGTCTTTTTCACCCAGCTGGCATGCACCAGAAAGTCAAGTAGACAATTCAATTTATTTACATGCATCCTTCTGCAGTCTGTAGTCTGCTTTTGTAGGTAATTCATAAATACTTCTGTAACAGAAAAGGCTTTGAGTGAGTTCTATGATTCAATTTAAAAGCCTTGAGTCATTTGCTCACCTTTAATTACTCTAAAAATTCTCTTTTCTACCTGAAATTCTGTTCCATCCTTCTGCCTTCCTCCTTCAAGTCTCTTGGGTATTTATGTCTATAAAGACTCCTGTAGGTACATGGAGACATCATGAAATTTGTAAGAGGTCAACTTAAGTTCTCCTTTCAAAGCCCCAACTCCCTGAGAAGCAATCCAGAGGAGTATTTACCCAAATTTCTTGTGCCCATTCAGAGGACTTGAGGGCTACACAAACCTCCTCCCAGAATCTTAGTGTAGTTTATCAAACACCTCAAAAAAACATGTCTCCACCTTAGGGGCACATTTTGGTGATGAAAGGAATCATCATCCCAGCACGCGGAAAAGCCACGATTGGAACAAAGGCAAAGAAAATGGCTTTTTTGTTTACCTCCTGTCACTGACAGGTTAAAGTACAAAAGGAAAGAGTCAAGCACAGGGTTTGGGGCTGCATAAAGAGCCCACTGAGCACATGGTAAGAAGTCACATGCACTGGATTGTGTCAGCTTAACAAAGTCACAGTAGGAGAGATTTGTTTAGGAACTATCACTGCTGGAATTACAAAGGCAGTTAAGACACAGAAACTCTGGGACAGGAGAAAGGACGCTGTCCCAAAGGCAAGGCAATCCAGGATGCTACAGGGGGGAAGCACCTGCTGAAACATGCCTTACCAGCACCTAGTGTAAACAAGAAAAAGAGGTTTAAACAGCTGAAGGAACGAGAAATCTGCAGCTCACTTGATCCTTTTGTCATCATCAAGTGCTTATCATGCAGACAACTGGTCACTGTTTGTCCACATCACAAAAGGCTCAGCACTCACCTGCCACTACACTAATTTCATGTTTAAAGACAGCAAGATGTGCATCTAGTCCTTGAAACTGGTACTGGGAAGAGGGGATAATCTATGGACATAGTTGCACTCTAGGAGAGAACAGAGGGTTACAGAATAAAACACAGACTAAGAGGTTTGGGTACAAAAAGGATATTGATGTTATAGGATCTGTATCTTCTCATAGGAATCGTGATAAAATTGGCAGATTAACAGCACTGGCAGAATGATGCAGCTGTGTCATTATTATTATTATTATTTTGAATAAGCATGTTTAATATGGCTAGTAATTCTTTGCTACATGGATCTACTGAATGCCACAATTTACATAAAGTAGGATCTTTAATTTTTAGCTCACAGCTATGCAACCTCCTAGGTAGGTTACTGATGTCAGGGTCAAGAGACTCAGAAAAAAAACTTTTAAGAGTAAAGCTTATTTCTTAATACCATCTTCATTTTCTTAGCAAAAAGATGCTGTATTGCTTATGAGAACCAATATTTTGGCCCATCAAAATTAGAAGTACATATTATGCAATGCAAGCTGTGAGGAAGATGGAAATTAATTCTGAACAACATAATGACATGCTTCCATGCCTTCCTTCTTAGAAAAGACTATTAAAATAATTCATAAAAAATTCATCAACTACTACCTCTTAAGAGCTCTGACTGCTTACTTCTACAAGTGGAGCAGGAAGTGGATATAAAAGTAGGGAAAGGAATCATGTATAGGAGAGTTTGGAGAAGATTTTATATAATTAAAGAGCTGCAGGGTAATAGGAGGCACTGAGAAAATAAACAACGCCATATTATCACAGGATAAAAATACAGATATTTTTCCACTAATACCGCAAGTCCTAGGCACATTACATTTTAGAATACATATTTATTATGCTAAAAGCTTTTCCTAAGTCAAAGCATTTAAAAGCATACTAAATGATGATGGTGGATCTACCACCAACACACCACACAACCCTCATCCAGCACTGTTACCATCAACTGCAGCGTGGCTGCTTGAGCACAACAACACTGATGGAGTGGGCACTACTGAGAGCTTTTATAAACTTATGTTTAGCCTGAGTGCCTGAGCACTGTTGCCACCTAGCCAAGAACAATATCCTTGTATGACTGTTTCCTAAACACAAACCCCTTCCAGAGCAGAGGAAAATCAGGCTTTGGAACTTTTAAGTGGTGCTAATGAACTAATAGGTGTCTCTGCTGAGAGCCAGAATGAACAGCACAGCAGAAGAGTGAATCTGAGCTGACATTTGAGCAGCAGCTGTGCTGGGGCTTACACCAGGCAGAGAAGGATGTACAGCATAATGTTTTTTCCAGATTATTTGCAACACTGCAGAATATCACATAATAAAGGCCATTTGGCAAGCCAATGTTGGTACTTTTGACAACAACGTGTTTCAGGATCATCCATTAGAAGCATCAATTATTCAGCCTTTTAAGAGAAAAAACAATCTAAAGACATCATACTAACAAACCCAAGAAATCACAGAGGACAGGAATAAAAGAACGGAAAAAAAAAAAGTTTAAAAAGCAGGAGGCCATATATGGCAGAGAAAGTGATGCAGATTAAGATGTAACAGCAAGGCCCAAATGGCAAAAACAAATTTCTGTGACAGCACTTTAGAAGACCAGGAAGGAGAAAAGAAATCAAACACAAGAAAGCCAAACATTTGTAGTGAGCCAAAACAAAAAAAACACTAACTTTTGTTGTATGGATGAAAGCAAAAAAATCAAAAAGACAACATGTGTTACGAATGCCTGAAAGAGAAAATGAAAGTATTTCAACCATTTCACTGCCAAAATGTTAGAATTTAACACTGCTTCATCCAGATAATTTCTGTTTAGCCATGCAAATGTACAGAAAGAATTAAAGCACACAAGCAGTTATGGACTTTTACTTTGGGTATTTCATCCACAGGCTACAGGTAACTCTCATTATTCAACCAGGAAAGTCAGAGACAAGAATGACAATGGCCTTCAAAGCAGATGACCCCAAACACACCAACATGTAAATTCAAAATATCTGCTAGCACAGCTCAACTTTTCTTTTCCTAACCAGCCTTGGCCAAGACTTTGCACCTCAAACACAGGCTTCACAACCTTCCACAAGATGGAAAAAGACTCTGGGTGTTTCCCTTACCGGGATACTGAGAATGTCCTGGAGAAGTTACAGCAGTACAAGTGTGAGTGCATCGGCTTGGCTTCCTAGACAGGAATACCAGTCCTGACTTCTCATTACAAGAATGCTTGGAACTAAACCCTGTCAGGGCTCCAACTCATCAAGCTGAGAAGGCAAATACCAGTTCTCATGTCAGCTGATCCATGACTGGGCCACGCACATTCCCAGAACTTGTGGCAAATGCAGTCACAGCCACAGCCCAACATGCATTAAGTAGCACCAACATGATTTTGCTGCTGGCTAAAACCACGCAGTTGCTGTGACTGAGCTGATACAGTAAACTCATTAATCCATGATAAATTGGATAGAGAGCCTAAGATGAATGCCTCTTCCACTTAACTATGCTGATATCCATCTGAGCATATCCCAGGAGAAGCATTAATTACAGATCTGGAACTCTCTAACCAGAAGGTGCTTTTGTCCAGTGCTTGGACATTGTCTTTGTAGAACACCTAATTAAGTGTTGTGGCTGCTAAAACTTACAAAGGTCCATGCACCAAAACCTCACAGATATTGCCACTGGCTCAGAAAATCTGTGAGCCACCAACTGCTGAAGCCTGGGAGAGTGTCATAGGCAAGTAACACAAGGTGCTTCCCCAGCCCTGTGCTCTCCCTTGTGAGTCTGTTTCTGGCTACTGTCCGACAGGGGATATCATCCACTGCTCAGTCTCATTCCAGCAAGAATGCTTGCAAACAGATTTTTCTGTCCTAATCATCAAAAAGATACCAATTAGCCAAGGTTCTGATTACATGCAGCCAGAGCCAATATTTCTCCTTTCACTTACAATTAATTGAAAATTACAGAACAAAAATCTTGTTGTATGAGCAGCATCTCAGCAAAACACAAACCAGTACAAGTGCCGCTTCCTTGAGCACAAAATAAAAATATAAAAGCTGGTAAAGCCAGTTATGCCCGGTCTTATCATCCAAGTTCCCATACATTCAACTGAATCCTTCTGGAATCTTCCTGGCATTATTACAGTTATTTACCAGGCATTAAAAGGTTGTATGCTCATGGTCCACGTTTCTTAAAGTTATTTTAAACACTGAAGCGCTTACGTCAAAACTCACTTTGCCTAGCAAACCTAACAGGTAATCAATCACATAACTTACATTTTCCTGGTCAGAAGACAGTGCTGGCTCCACTAGAAGAAGCCTCTGTTGAGAGCTGTCCTCTTCAAAGGCTGCCTGTGCTGTTGCAGGGCCAGACATGTGTCCTTTTCTGAGCCGCAGACCTGGCTCTGGAGAACCAGCATTATCGGGTTCCGTTAGTTCGTTCATGAGATGCTGGGAGCCTTCTCAAATATTCTCTTTCCTCTTGGTTCAGTTTGGCTGATTATGTCTTGGCTCTGAAAGACAAACCATTTGTGTAACTCAGCTGAAGTTCAAAAGTAGAGTGCAAAAGTTGGCTGGAAGAAGAGTTTGCTTACAAGCTACCCGACAGCTATGACAGCTGCTTTTACATGTGCCCAAAATCCCACAGGATCAATTACACAGATTTCCACACTGCTGGATAATGAATTCTCATCTTGAGACCTCTAACAGTTTCATATCCTAACCCAAGCTAAACACAACTTTGAAAGATGACAGAAAGTGAGCTTCATAAAACAGCAAATTTACAAAACCCCGGTCAGTTTTTCTGAATTATTTCTACAAAATTGCAAGCAGCAGGCTGATAATAATATTTAGAAATAAACTACTTATCACAGGTACTCTACAATTACTGTATTTTTGCAGGTATGAGGCTCATACCCAAGCTCCATCATCAGACTAGATTTCACCAAAACTAGGACATTAAGTACTGGTAATAGCAATCAAGCAAAGCTCAAGCAGAGCTCAAGCAGCAACTAAATTTAGACAGACTGCAAGGAGGGCAGTAGTACACAGAGTGATTATGCTCCCCTTGCTTAAATTAACATGGTCACAATCACTGCCAGGAATGGGTTTGTACCTTTACTTGTGCAAGGAATTAGAGCAGGCAATTTTAAACATTGTTCATTCCATCGGAGCAATCAGAAACAGGTAATTCCCTCAGAAAACAATAACCCATGATTTCTACTCAGAAAAGTAACTGCATTTTACACTTACAACACCGCAAAAAGGATTCAGGGTACATTTAACTCAAAAATGCTAAGGATTTAATCAAATTTACAGAAAATTGATGTCAGCTGTTAATCTGAGCCCTCATCAATTGGTTACCCATTTGTTTTGTACATCCCTGTGTGGTGTCAGTTCAGCAGCCAGTTCAGAGAGACCTGTTTGACACTGGCAGCCTTGGGAGGCACAATCTCCAGAGAACTTTGTAATCTGAGTGCCAGAAAGCATCAGAATGTATCATGAGGATGAAGCTCCAGCTGAGGCTTCAGAATCACTCTGAATGACGACCTATTCCTTCTGCACTAATCACTGGTGTCATTCTTATTACTGTAGCACCTAAGTGCTCTGATGTGACTAACACATAACATTAAGACAAGCCATCTGACAAGTTTTAACTTGCCAGTATGCATAATTAAATTGGAATTTTAGTGCCCAATAAATTTGTCATAATGTAGGAAGGAAAATTAAAAATATAAGATGGGGAATTGATATTGGCAGTTTTGTAATAAAATGTCACCTCTAAAAAGCCAATAAATAATGCATTCTGTCCTTACAGGAACTAATTTCATTTACATATGATCACTGCAAGACAATTCTCAGCTCTGACAAATGGGCTATAGTTAATTTTGCTGCAGCAGTTTGTAATGTTATATCCCCTCAGCTGCCTGGCAGTCCTCAGAGGAGAGAGCTGCTAATGAGCAGGTAACAGACTCTGCAGAACTAAACGATACCTCAAGTTGTCCGAGTTCAGTATGGCACACTGCTTTAATCACCCAGGATGGTAAGGTGACAATCTGACAGGAGAGCAGATGGCATCCCCACCTTCCTGCTACCTCCACTACAGGGTCAGCACTCTCCATCTGAGAAGCAACATCTAAAACAGCCACAGCTGTTTACCTGGTAAACACAAGAGCCACGGGAGGATTAAGAGGAGCTTTAGCAACATTACACAGGAAGCTCAGTGAAGAAGTTGAGCAAGTAGATTTTAAGAGCAGGAACAAATATTCAGAAAGCCACAGAACTGAAATCTTGACTGTTTTTGTCATATTTCAAGCAGCCAATTCACAATTCTATTTTTAGGCAAGAAACATGAAGACATAATCACACTGCCATTTGGCAAAACTGATGTAAGAAAGGAAAGAGTAAGCAACAACAACTACAGCTTGAAACGAAGCTAATGGATATCTTAATTTAAAAAGCAACCTATAAGAGACAATTTCAGTACAGTACTATGCTGGCTTTGGCTGGGGTAGAGCTAATTTTCTTCCCAAGTTACCATGACATGTGATGGAGCCTGCCTTTCCTGGGCATGGCTGAACACCTGCCTGCCCACGGGAAGTGGTGAATGAATTCCTTGGTTTGCTTTGCTTGTATCCATACCTTTTGCCTCTCTTTATCTGAACCCACAGGTTCTCTCTGTTATGATTCTCTCTCCTGTCCCACTGGGGCAGAGTGAGCAGGCAGCTGTGTGGGGCTTAGCTGCCCGCTGGGGTTAGACCACAACAAAAGCACTAAACCAACTTGAAGCTGTAGCTAAAACCAGAAAAATGCAAGTAAGCAGAGCAGCTGTTTATAAACAACAGCTCCACGCAGGCACACCCCCCTGCCTGCTATTCCACACATTTCCACCAGCTAGTCAGTAGAAAGAGCCCCAGTTACTTCCACAGATTGGGCAACTGCATGAGACGTTTAACCAGCAAGTTTTACTGGTTCTTCCCCCAGGCAGATTTAAGCAATAGCGTTGCCCCTGTGTGCTGCAGTACCACGACATTGCCCAACACCTGGCCTTACATCACCTCTGGGACACAGCCACACAACTGGCCCAACCACGTTTGGCCAAGATGCTTGCCAAAGGCTCTTCTAACACAAGAAGACACAGGAATGCCAAGAGACTTTTACATCAAGCCCTGAGGATTTGCTTCACCAGCTCTCGCTGCCAAGCATTTGCTAAGGTTAAAAATAAAAGATGCACTTCACCTCCAGCGAGTCAGATTTGCATTCAGCAGTAGAGCTGATCATCAGAGCTCTGCAGAAATAGAAGTTGTTGTTTCTTGAAATTACAGTGGGATTGTTCACTGAACTAAGATGTTTCCATGTCATTCAGGCAGGATCCTCATAGTGTTCTAAATACGCTTGCCCTAAATGAGCATGCAAAGGTAAGAAAGATAAAAGCTAATCCAAAAGCATCACTACTGGGTTTTACTTCTTTTTAAAAATGTATTACTGACTGAATGCAAGTGCAAGGTGCCAACAGAGAAGTGCAAATAGCCTGAAATATTTGTTCACAAGAGAAAGCAAGCAGTGAAGATTATGAACAGGAAAGGCATAGGTCACCTCTAGTTCTATCAAAGTTTCTATGACTCACAGTTCAGTGAAGGATGACCTTTTCCTAAGAAATTAAGAAGTTTAAGTATGGTCAGTAGCATCTAACCAGAAGACGATGGTTGAACCATTGTGAGGATATTTACTGCCCCATTCTGAGATTGCACAGTTCACAAAAACTAGAAAACTGAAAGCTATAGAACACTTGAGGTCTTGGAAAATACTGTTTTGTGTCTCACTGAGATTATAAATCTCATAAATGAAGTCCTTCAACATTTTTTGTAGCATGCAAATTAAAGGTTTCATTAAAATTAGCTTCCATTTAAAGAGGAAGTTGCCATTATGACTTAAAATCTACTTAATGATTGCATACATAATATCAGCCTGTAGATGAATCAGTGAGTTCCTGCTGTGCTTAAAATAAGCTGAGAAAAGCATCTACAGAGTTTGGTCTGTTGGGTTTTTTAATACGGAAAACTTCTAAATGCTCCGTCAGCTTTTAGAAAGGATTCAGCAGTTTAATGCAAGCAGGGTTCTAAACACAGCCTATGAACACAAAATGAGCCTTTGGTCAATTCAGCGTGCTCTGCCTTGCCACACAGCCCCAGAGCAGCCTCAGCTGCTCTCTCCAGCCCCACAGGGACACAGTCAGCACCAGTCTGAGGCTCAGCCTTTCCAACCAGAGCTACAAGGCAGAGTTCTTCCAGCATTCACCTCAGTTGTGCAATGCCACGGGAGTCAACACCCACAAACACAGCACATTTAGGACACTGCTTCATAAAGATGATAAGGAAAGACTAGTTACACGAAGTTAAGCACCATGGGATAATGCTATTATTCTCTGTATGACACTCCCGAGGATAAGCACTGCTGCCCTTCTAACCTCCCAGCACTCACCTGGCACAAGGACTCATTTACTGCCTCAACTAAACGATGACACATGGTTGTAAAACAAAGAAAATGCATTAGCAGTAGTGTCTGTCATTAAATTTAAAAGGTCTGTCACTCCCTTTTGAGGAGAAAGCACAGTTCTGGATGGTCAGACTACCTCCCACTACCCCTAAGCAAAGCAGTCTCACCAGTACTCCCTCCTGTCAGTATGTTCTTTCCTGTAAGCAGCATGAGAATGATCCTCTAAAGGTATTTCATTCTGTCTGTAACTGGTATTTGGAAGAAGAATGAAAACAGCTTCCCCACAATCCCCTCTCAACTGCCTCACTGGCAGAAACCTTCCTGCTCAGGTAGGCAGTGGCACCCACTGTGTGCTCCTGCCTTGCTGATCCCCTCCCAAAGCATCCATTAAAGCAGCATAAACAATGTACACACAGAGGATGATTCCTCCTCAGATAATCTCATTGCCCCTTAATAGACCTTAAGGTATCAAAAGAATAAAAGACCATCATGAAAATTTCAGGCTACACATTTCTCAGAACGTTCATTAATGTTTAATTTTTAATAAGGGCTACAGCGCCTGAAAGATCTTGTAAGAGATGCTGTATCAATCCAGAAACTCTGCCTTGCCTGTGTCCATGTGCCACAATAGTCAAACCACACCAGTGGAATGGCAAAGCTGTGTGAAAAATAAGACTTTACCTAACCCCAAGCTGTTTAGGCAAGGCCTCAGGGACAGGATAGGCACAATTCCACTCCCAGAACTGCCAGCACAGGTACAAATGGCACAGCACTTCCACTAGAATCCATGGACAGACTGGTTGGGCTAAGAACACGAGTGATGGGGAATTTAGTGCCTATGAAACAATTCATTGTGGCTACCTTGAGAGAAATAAGGTACACTAACTGAAATGCAGTTTTCTTGGCACATTGTATTTCTACTACTATCTTCTGGTAGGGAGGTTCTGTCACAAGGAGTCCCTCACAAATAGTGTAGTAACACCAACTTGAAATGAGGGGCTCTTTCTTTTAATTTTTA